CTTATATTAATGTTACTAAGACACAGTTTGAGAACACTAAGAGTCAGCAGAAAAATGGCAAATGTTTCACTGTTCTTAGGGACAGAAATACTAAGCCACACTCATCATTCATTCATTCATTCATTCACTTATGGCAGCAGGTCCTTTGTCCCAAGCTGCATTCCCAGCCCTGTTGTCAGGGACAGAAAAACTAAGCTACATTCATTAATTTATTTATTCATTTTTGTAGCCCTGGGAATTAAACCCAGGGCTATCCCTAGCAGTACTTTTTGAGACAGGATCTCACTAAATCACTAAGTTTCCAGGTTGGGGGTCCTTCTGCCTCAGCCTCCCAGAATGCTGGGATTACAGGAATGCACCCAACCTAGCATATAGTCATTTCTTAACTTCAGTATAATAAGCTGCTAGGCCAACAGAATCCAGAAAAAATGATATTCATCATCACTTTGTACAGAAATATACTAGTGGTTGGAGCATACTGTCTTTGTCTCTGACACGTTATTGAGAATGATGAGTGGATCATAAGGAAAAAATGGTTACCAAAGTTTAAGGAGCTCTTTTATGGAGATGGTTAATAAGATTGAAACCTGTGTAGTGTCTGGAGACATGATAATTCATCAGAGGTGTCACTGAACCCTTTCAGGTTCTTACTCAGTTGATATAAAAACAGGAAAAACAGGAAATACATTTAACGATATTAAAGAAATAAGAGGAAAAATACATCTTTACACAGGTTTTGAATAAAAGAGCCACTTTTCTCCAAGGAGCTCACATTCTGCTTCTTGGCTCAATGTACTGGATATCATATTGAGTGAAGAGTGAATCTGATGCATTATGCCAGATTTTATTAATCTTCATAAATTTTACATTAATATATTAAATCTTATATAAGTGTTTTAACCCTACATGATACCACACAAAATCATGTCAGTACTTCATGGATATGCTGAAGGCATAGTATATCCATGCATAGTCCCTAATAAACCTTTCATACCAGGGGCTTCTTATTAAAAGAGACAAGAAAAGTGTATCTAGAAAAGCAATGTATGTACTAGTATATTTCTTCATTTTCCTGTTAGATGAACAACATGCACATATATAGTACAGATAGCAAATAAAATATTATTTCAGGACAGACTCTAAGTTGCCCAGTCTGGGCTGGAATTTGGAACTGTACAAAAGGATTACAAAAAAAAACAAAAAAAAAAACTTTTTAAGGCATTAGGAGATAAAATTTTGGTATGCTTTACAAACTTTTTAAAAACTTTTAGTCTAATATATTCTTGATGTCCAGTAAGTATTAAATAATTTAACAATGATACCTTGCAAATTTAATGATTTATTTAAAACAGAACTAGTCAGACTTGTAAACAACAACAAACTACTACACAATTTATTGTATAATAGTGTTGCAGGAGATTTTAGTAGGAAAACTCATTTGACCTGAATGTAAAAGCTTTTGTTATTCAGAGTTTCTGTTCAACTGTTGTTCATATGTAAATACATATATTTCCTTGCATGTAATTCATTATTTTCTGTTGATTAAACACTTAAGATTTCTACTCAATTTTGTTGGGGTGGGGGAGATTTAGCTCAGTGGTTTTGGCGCCTGCCTCGCAAGCTCAAGGACCTGAGTTTGATCCCTGGTACCACAAAAAAAAAAAAAAAAAAAA